TTTCCATAAGTATAAAGAACAGTCACCCAGATCCCAGCCAGTCTGACTAGAACATTCCACCGAAGGGAGACAGACAGTTAGACACAGAGAACAAGGAAGACAGAGAAACTAAATCAGAAGCCAAGCAGGACAGAGAACAAGGAGAGACACAGGAAGAGGAAGAACTAGAAAAAAACTGGATAAAGGCAGAAGAGACATAGAGACACAGTGAAAAAAGTGAGAGATAGGAAGAAAAAAGAATAGGGTGAGGACCTTGAGAAAGTGAGACAGAGGCATTAAGGTAGGAAAAAGGCGAGGGAAGTGAGGCAGAGACCATCTGCTCAGGGTGAGGATGTTGGTCTGCAGGCTCTGGGCAGCGATTAGCCGGGCACTGTTTGCTGAATTCCTGGCAACAGGGCTTTATGTATTCTTTGGAGTGGGCTCGGTCTTGCGCTGGCCCTCAGCAATGCCTTCTGTGCTCCAAGTGGCTATCACTTTCAATCTGGCTACAGCCATGGCCATACAAGTCACTTGGAAGGTGAGTGGGGCCCATGTCAACCCAGCTGTGACCCTGGCTTTCCTGGTGGGCTCCAATATTTCCCTGCCAAGAGCCATGGCCTATGTGGTAGCCCAGTTGGCGGGGGCCATTACAGGAGCTGCTCTGCTTTATGGAGTCATTCCAGGGGACATACGAGAAAGCCTCGGAGTGAATGTGGTAGGTACCTCATCAAGGGGATGAGGGAATAAGGAACAGGAATATACAGGGGTAAGGGAGCTGAGACATACATGGCAGAAGGAGGTGGGTGGGGGTGGGAAAGGAACCATCCAGGAAACTTAATGGGGATAAGGGAGGGGAACAAAGATCAAATCATCTGATTATCATAACCAATTATGTAATCATAGGATAAAAGAATTTAAGTTATGGGAGGGATCTTAGAAGTCGTCTGATACAAATCCCTCATTTTACAGATGATGAAACTTGAGGCCTAGAGAGGTAAATATTTGTTGAGTGGAATGTTTGTATAAGATCCTAGACTAAGTTGACCTTGTAGGAGATACAATGATGAAGACATGGGGTTGGGGGATAGGAAAGGAGAGGATGGGAAATTGGGAGAATTTCTATTAAAGAGAAACATGGAGAATGATATAAGGGAAGAGAAAGGGGGCAAAAAGACCAGGGATATGGAAGAAAGATTGGGGAGTATTGGAGACCCTTCCCCATTGTACTGCTTAGTCTCATGCTTTTCCCTTATTCAAATCTGCTTTCTCTCCTGATCTTTCTCTCCCCTTCCCACCCTATTTTCCCAGTTCTTGTCAGTACCTGTCTGCCTTAATGTCCCTCACTGTACAAACTTCCGTCCTTTCCTTTCTCCAAGCCTCCCTCTCTACCTATTGCCCCAAACTCCTTTCTTTTGTCAACTATAATTCCCCTTAATGACCTCTCCAAACTCAGATCCCCAACTTATCTGGAACCCATCTCCCTTCCTAGACCTGTTCCTCCAAACCCAAACTGGGACCTTTTTGGGCCCAGAATAGCCTGTGGTGGCTTGGAGGATATTGGGGATAGAGATGAGAATAAATCACCTTCTATTTGTACATCGAATGAACTTTCATGCCTATCAGTTTATTTAATCCTCAAAACAAGCCTGTGAGGCAGGCAGAGTCCAGTTCCAACAAGAATCAACTACGCAACTTTGAGCAAATGGCTACTTTTCTCTGGTTCTCAGTTACCTTCTCTGCTCCTGGTGGACAGATTGGAGGTGAGGGGAAGTGGTAAACACTAGGGAAGATGGGAAGATGTATCCTAGTGGGTGACTATATTCTACCTTCCCTTAGAAGGATAAAGTCCCATTCGGCTTTATTCATGCTTTAAGAATGCTATCTCCATTGTAGAGTTGAGGAAACTGAGGCTAAGGAAGAAATTATCTGACTTGCCTAATGTTACACAATGGAATCAGGAACAGAGCTAGGACTAAGCCCTCAGCCACCTGTCTCCTGTGTCTTTATTTATTCTGCTACATCATAGTGTGAAGTGATATATGACTCCTATTTCCTCCCCCACTTGGGTCTCTCGCTTCCCTGAACCTTCAGAGCAACACATGAGATAGTAAGTAATAACACAAGATAGTAATATCTCATTTGATCCACATATATACAATGCATACGAATATGGGTATTGACAGACAGCTGGGGGGGAATGTGTGTGTGAACAAGCACCCTGGGCACTCTGTCTCCTCAGGTCCGGGGCAGCGTTTCCTCAGGCCAGGCTGTCGCAGTGGAGTTGGTGCTGACCCTACAGCTGGTGCTCTGTGTCCTGGCTTCTACTGACAGCCGCCAGACCCCAGGGTCTCCGGCTGCCATAATTGGGCTCTCTGTGGCTTTGGGCCACCTAATTGGGGTAAGATGATTCACCGCTAAAGGGGACAGGAAAAGAGGAAAGGGAAAGAGAGAAAGACCCTTTGTACTTTGTCTGATACTAGCTTTCTTTGGCTGGGGGTTGGGGGGAATGATTAGAGACACAGAAAGCTGGAGAGATCCAGGAAAAGATCATTTAAGTCTCAGGAATTATCCCATCCACCTCAAGCTGGTCTCTTGCACTCAGATTTCCAATAGTTACAATCCCCTCTGCTACCAAAGAATAGATGATTTGGGTAACAGGATGAGCTCAACAGCACCCACACTATGGCTCAGTTGCCCATTGAAAGAAGGATGAGGAGAGGGTGTGGGGTGGTGACAAATTTTCCTCAGTCTAGCCTCCTGTGAACCTTATCTCCTCATTCTACCTCCACTTCATGCCCTCCTCACCATCCTTGACTTCTCAAAGATCTATTTCACTGGCTGTTCCATGAACCCAGCTCGCTCCTTCGGCCCAGCTGTCATTGTTGGCAAGTTCTCTGTCCATTGGGTGAGTTCCTGGGCCTGGGAAGCAAATGACCCAAAGAGGGCAAGTGGAAGGGGAAGGAGTTCAGCTAACCCAGGGGTTTACTAGGGAAACTGGAAACAGAAAGGGAGAAACAAAGCACATGAAGGCTTTGTCTCACTTCCTTTGGTCCTAGGAGAAAGCCAAAGGTTTCCCAAAGGAGGCAGGCTTTCCTGGTTGGCCAACCCCCAGGCCTTTGGCCCCTGACCTAGGTTGGGCCTGCTGGGAAGTGGACAAGATGAGCAAGTACTTGAGCCTCTTTTTGCCTCTGATTTATAGCTTCAAACACCTAGCTGTTTCCTTATCCAGCTTCTCCAGCCAGACTGATTTCAAAATTTAAAGAGGAAGAGCCAGAGACAAATAACCAGATACAGAAACAGAATAACTTAAATTCTTGGCTGTAGAGTTGGAGGGAGGATGGAAGAACTAGTAGGGAAAATGACACCCCCAAATCCAACCACTTATTCTTGTGCCCTGTGCCTCCTCCTTTCTTACACTTGAGGGAAGGCTCTTCTATCCACATGGTGAGCCTTGGAGAACGTTCACTAGATTAGGAACCGGGGCACTTGAGTTTTCTACCCTGGGTCTTGGATTCTACAGGGATGTCTCACCTATAGGGAAGCTTGAAGATTGTTGGGAACTTAGGAGCAGGTCAGTCATAGAGGAGATGGGAGCTGAGAGCCATCCTCATTCCCTGGATGGCTCACAGGCTTATGGATCTATTTTTCTTTGTGCCTGTAGATCTTCTGGGTAGGACCACTGACAGGAGCTATCCTGGCATCTCTGATCTACAACTTCATCTTGTTCCCAGACACCAAGACTCTGGCTCAGAGACTGGCCATTTTAACAGGCACCACAGAAGCTGAGGAGGTGGCACCTCACAAGAATGGCCCACAGCCCACTTCAGGAGGCACTGAGCTACCCAACTTGGTATAGAGTTCTTAAAATCCAGTCTGTACCCCACAGTGGTGGGTGGAACAGGATTACAAAGTGTCAGACAAGACTGTTTAGGGGCAGTGGCAGCATGTCAAATGCAGTGAGCACCTGGCCAAGGACATTTGGGGCACCTTAGTCAGGGAGAGGGCTTGTGTCCTGCCCTGATGTGGAAGTGAGTTTCAAGGGATGGGGGTGAGGGAAGAAAGGGAAAAGAGGAGAAAAATTGTCACTAACCCTCCCAGAAAATTCTAGCCAGAATAAAGCCCCAGAGTGGGTCTGGATCGCCTTCATCTCTTAGTCTCTGGGAGAAGCAAGGTAACCACGTCCGCTTACTGCCACCACTTGACCTAGAACCAAGGGGAGGTCCAGACTTTCGAATTAATTCAATGTAACAAATTTGCATTTAGCATTTACTGTGCACAAGATTTGTGCTAGTCAATGGGGAAGTTAAAAAGATCAATAAGATATAATTTCTACTCTCAAAAAAAGCTTAGTCTAGTAGAGGCTGTTAAAAAAAATAGAGGTGGGACAGCTAGGTAACACAGTGGATAGAGCACCAGCCCTGGATTCAGGAGACCTGAGTTCAAATCCAGCCTCAGACACATAACACTTAATAGCTGTGTGACTCTGGGCAAGTCACTTAACCCTGATTGCCTTGCCCCTCCCAAAAAAATGGAGCTAACTGTAATACAGAATAGAACAAGACTAAAGTATAGGAAAGGTATTAGGGCTATATGAGATTCAGGAATGGATCACTTCCCACTTTTGTAAAGGGATCAAGGAAACATTTATGGAAAAGGTAGTATTTGAACTGGAACTCAGAGGATGGGTAGAAATTCAATAGAAGTGGCATTTCAGGAATAAAGTACAAACCATAAAGTTTGGCTCTATAAAAGCCCAGGATCATGTCTAGGGAATAGCAAGTAGTTTCGTGTATCTGGAACATAGAATATATATTGTGGGGAACAGTACAAAATTAGGCTAAAAAGCTGGGTGGCATGAGACTAAGAAGGGCCTTGGATGGCAAAGCAGTGTTTTGAGCAAAAATTTGGCAAGATTCCTGGGGCAGCTATGAATTAATGAAATGAATGAATGAAAGAAAAAGCTTATATATTTATATATTCATAAAAGTAAAGGCTTATTCCCTGCTAGGCACTATGCCTTAGCACTGCTGGAGGATACAGATACAAAAAGCAAGATAAGTCTCTGCTCTCAAAGAGCTTATATTCTAAAAGAGGAAAATAACATATATAAGGGAAGTAGTTGCCAGGGAGGGATGATTTTGTTTGGGAAAGTAGAGAGATGGTAAGAGTAGTTACAGGGCCATTGTTTGACAGTTATTTCCAGGAATGACAGCGATGATTTAATTACTGTTTTCAGAACTATAGGTGGAAAAGGGTCAGGAAGAATATGTGGGTTTGTTTGGCAGGATTGGGGCAATGTGATGGGGTGGGGCATGCCACATATAGCAAACTCTACCTAATCAGAAGCCCAGGGCCCCAGGGCCAGAGCTAGAATGCCAGTCTGAAGCCAGAGGGGATTGGGGGTGGCAGAAAGATGATTGGAAAAGAGAGAGAATTGAGGCCATGGGGACCAGTTAGGAAGATATTGCCATGATCTAGGTAAGTGGTAATGTACTAAGGCAGTGGCCACAGGAATAGGAACTCATGTTAGATACTTTCCATGTAGAACTGACAGGATCTAGTAACTAGCTCATTATATGTAGTAAGAGAAGGAAGTTTCAAAGAAGACACTGAATCTAGTGGCAATGTGTCAAAAGAATGAGCCCCGGCCAAGAGAATCTTGGGGGATCCTTATTCAGGGAGAGGGCTTCTGTACTGCCCTAATGTGAAGGTAGATTTCAATGTGGGGGGTGGGAATTTGAGGGAGAGTAGGAAAAAGAGAAGATAGCCTGTCACTAACCTCCCCTAGAAGATTGTAGCTAGAATAAATCTCCTGGGTGATGGGTACATTGATAAAGGAAGTCAGAAGTAGGTCTGGGTTAGGGCCAGGAAGACAAACTATTTGTGGCTCCTGGGGCAAAGTTGTAAAATGGTAGGCCCTCAAGCTTTCACTTGTAACATGGCTTTGTCACAAAACAAATACTGTATGCCATAAAGTGAAATTTGCTGCCATCAAAAAAATGGCCACTTTTTAAATATTAAAAAAATATCCCTCCTTGTGCTCCCATTGTGTGGTGCTGTTGGTGTCTCGCTATATTACCTATCTTTCATTCTAAATCTGTCTCTAACATATGGAGCTTCAGGTCCTTACAGGATATTCAGATGGACATGTCCAATACGCAATTGCAAATCCCAGTCTGGAACCTGGGAGGGAGATCAAGGCTCCATATGTCTCCACCCCCTCACACACACACACACACACACACACACACACACACACACACATACTACAGATGCTGGGGAGGAAAGGAAGATCATGAATTGAGGACTGAGTATGGAACCAGATCACCCAGAAGACTGGAAATAATAGGTACCTCTAAAAACCCTGATGGAATCACTTTTCCTCCTCTCAGTAGAGGTGGAAGACTATAGGTTGGCATTTTGGAGAGGAATTTGGAACTATTCCCAAAGGGCTATAAAAATGTGCATACCTTTTGACCCAGCCATACCACTTCTAGGTCTGCATCCCAAAGAGGTCATAAAAATGGGGGAAAGGACCCATATGTATAAAAATATTTATAGCAGCTTTTTATGGTGGCAAAGAATTGGAATTTGAGAGGATATCCATCAATTGGGGAATGGCTGAACAAGTTGTGGTATATGAATGTAATGGAAAACTATTGTGCTATAAGAAATGATGAGCAGGCAGACTTCAGAAAAACCTGGAAAGACTTGCATGGACTGATGCTGAGTGAAGTGAGCAGAACCAGAAGAACGCTGTACACAGGAACAGCCACGTTGTATGATGACTAACGTTGATAGACTTAGCCCTTCTCAGCAATGCAGGGATCTAAGACATCTCCAAAGGTCTCATGATGGAAAATGCTATCCATATCCAAAGAAAGAACTGTGGAGCTTGAATGCAGATCAAAGCACACTATTTGCTATTTTTTTCTTGTTTTGTTTTGTTTTCTCTTTCTTGTGGTTCTTCCTGTTGGTTCTAATTCTTCCTTACAACATGACTAACGTGAAAATATGTTTAATTGGAATGTATATGTATAGCCGATATCAGATTATGCGCCATCATGGGGAGGGAGGCAGAAAGAGAGGGGGAGAAAATTTAAAACTCAAAAGCTTATAGAAGTGACTGTTGATAAATCAAAAGAAATTAATAAAACAAACAAATTCAAAAAAAACTCATCCTGCTCGTCATTTCTTATAGCACAATAACATTCCATTATAATCACATACCACAACTTAATGCAAAAAAAAATCTTAAAGGTAATTGGGGGACCTAATTAATTAATCCACCAAAGTCAAAACGATAGCTGTGAATTCCATACTGGAGTTTGGAAGAGCGTGGGAGGTGAGAGGGGACATCATACCCTTTTCTCCAGTTCCCAATGGGATCATTCAAAAGAAGTAATTTTTCCAGTTTTTTTTTTCTTCAAAGTTTTCTAATTCACTAATGAAACACAAGTGGTAACAGACAAAATACAGCAGGATTTAGGCTAGACTCATTCCTCCATTCTACCTGCTATAGCTTTTAAGGAAGGATCAATGGGATAGGTAACCAAAGATTATGCAGTCTTCTCTGGAGACTAAACTGTCTGCTTGAGCTGTTGGGAGAAATACAGGAAGCAGGGAGCTGGATGAGACAACTCAAGGTCCCTTCTCATCTTAATGTTCCATAGCCATTGTTGAAGGAAAAGGACTGATTTAACAAGCATTCCTAGAAAGGTGGTGCCAGGCTTATAGAGGACTAAGCTCCCCAGATGCCTCGGTCCTTTTTGTGCCCTCCCTCCTTTCATCAGGGGAAGTTTTTAATTAATGGTGTGTAATCTGATATGCCCCCTCTCCCTGCTGAGTGTTGCCTTCAATCAGCAGAGCCATCTGCAATTGCAATTCATAACTCAACTGGTGAGGAGGAGGGGAAGGGATTGGATTTGGAACGGGTGCCATGGTGATTAATACAATTAGTTTTCTATGCTGATGATTTCTGTAGTACAGGCAAATGACTGCAGATTCAGGGCTGAAAGGGATCTCAGAGATCATCTTGCCCAACTCCTTTATTTTACATAGGTGAGCAAACTAAGACCTAGAAAAATGAAGCAGTTTGGCCCAGGTATGGTTCCAGGACCCAATTTTTTTTCCCAACTGCCAGGCATAAACCCAACTTTAGCCTTCTTTCTCTGGGTATAAAGGGACCATGCCTACAGCACAGAAGACATTAGAAATGGAAAAATAGTACATGCAGCCAAGGCCATGGTTCTTTTGAAATGAGGGGCCTCACCAGAGTTCAGTAAATGAAAAATCAAAGCAATGACAACTTTACTTACATTTTTATGGTCTTATTTAGTATTTTATTTTCCCCAGTTACATATAAAACAATTTTTAACATTTGTTTTTAAAACTTTGAGTTCCAAATTCTGTTCCTTCCTCCCTACCCTACCTCACTGAGAAGGCAATTAGGTATAGGTTATACATGTGTATGTATGTGTTTGCATGACTATATGCAAAACATTTCCATAATAGTCATGTTGTGCAAGAAAACATAGACAAAAAAAAACTTCAAGAAAAATAAAGTTAAAAAAAAGTAGGCTTCAATCTGTATTCAGACACCATCAATTCTTTCTCTGGGGATGGATAGCATTTTTCATCATAAGTCCTTAGCTTGCAATATTGTTGTTACTTTGTACACAGTACATTTCACTTTGCATCAGCTCATATAAATCTTTCCAGATTTTTCTGAGAGCATCCTGCTCATCATTTCTTATACAAGAGAAATCACATAACACAATTTTTTCAGCCATTCCCCAATGGATGGACATCCCCTCAATTTCCAATTCTTTGCCACCACAAAAAGAGCTGCTATATTTTTGTGCATGTAGGTCCTTTTCCGTTTTGCTTTTCATCTCTTTTGGGATACAGATCTAGTAGCAGTATTGCTAGGTCAAAGGGTATGCATGGTTTTATAGCCCTTTGGGCATAGTTCCAAATTGCTCTACAGAATGGCTGAATCAGTTCACAGCTCCACCAACAGTACATTAACATCTCATTTTTCCCACATACTCTCCAATATTTGTCATTTACCATTGCTGTCCTATTAGCCAATCTAATAGGTATAAGGTAGTACCTCAGAATTGTTTTAATTTGCATTTCTCCAAGCAATAGTGAGTTATTTTTTTTAATATGGCTATAAATAGCTTTGATTACTTCATCTGAAAATTGATCATATCTTTTGATTATTTATCAATTGGGGAATGGTTCTTATTTTTATAAATTTGACTCAGTCCTCTATGTTTGAGAAATGAGAACTGTATCTGAGAAACTTGCTTCAGAATTTTTTTCACATTTACTATTGCTAATTGCATTTCTTTCCATCCTATCCCCCC